ATTTAAAGGATTTTCTTACTATATACGTTCATGATCGAAAACAAGTTTGAGTTTATAGTTTACTAGCCTCTAAGATAATAGTTTGGACGTGGGAGTCTTCTTTCTTGCTTACTTGGAATTCGATTGATATAAAAGATTTTCACTACTGATTTGGTTAGAGAATATGGTTCTCTGAATTTATGATCGTTTCAAAAAACTATAAATAATGTTTATTTACCATATCGACCGTGGGAAGTTTTTTTTCTATTTACTAAGGTAAAAGGTTAGGACCGTTCGATTGAATGGGTCATTTGCATGGTGAATTATTGTCCTCTTTTTAGACTTCTAGTGTCTACCTATTCCCTACGTTCATTCCTATTTTATTATGGAGAAGCAATTTGTGTGAGTAGATCAAAATTACTTTATATTTTTGAATATACATCTATAGATGGGATTTTTCCTATCCAAAATAGGGCATTCAACTATTCCAATAAACCATTTTTATGGTGGTATCTAACGTGCTTTTAAATTTTTTTTCTTTCTATGCCCCCATTTGATCCACATTATTATCTCATTAAAATGAAAAATATGACCGTTATCCATCATATCAACATTCAAATTATTTTTAATATTTAAAANGAAAAGAAATATAAACAATCACGATGTTACGTTTCACTAATAATGTAAAATTATTTTGATATTTAAAATTTATCGATCATATATTTATTATGGCTGCACTTGAACATTTCCAACAAATTTTAAATCGCTTCAAACGAATATTTGTAACTTAAAATACTGAATTAAACGTTACAAAAAAATGGCTCGGCTAACGCGGCTCAACTAACTCGACTAAGTTTCGGTGGCCAAACGACTTGTGAATAGTGAAAAGAAAACTAAAAAAAGATGGCTCGGCTAACGCTGTTCAACCAACTCGGCTAGGTTTCGATGGCTAAACGGCTTGTAAATAGTGAAAAGAAAACTCACTCTTTTATTTATGTAGGATATAGAGATGGTGACGGTAAAGAACGGGTATGACTTTTGAAAGGAATTAAATTTTACAATAATATACGTATTCTTTTTGTAGATGGGCAACACACATGGTTATGCCTACTAGAAGAGCACGTGGTGGGTTTCTTGAATTTGATTGGTCATTTTGACCCATAACTACCATCTAAACAATGGTGTAATGTCAAAATGGGAAGGTAAAACATGAGAGGTCATTGGTTCACATACAAAATTATTTTATTAAAAAAATGCATACAAGAATTGAATACGATAAAAAATTATTTTCAAATAAATTGTGCCAAACAAACGTTAAACATTTACTAATTTTTACTAATTTCAAAATTAAGAATTTCAACTCCTATGTAGGTTTTCGAATTACAAAATGACACTTGTGTACAATAAATACTAATTGCAATATTTACTGATCGTGTTAAAGCAATATTATAATCAATTTATTGAATCATGCTTCTTGAATCGAATAAATAGTAAATGCATATACTATTCAAATTTACGTAGAGATCTTGAAATCGTTTATTGGGTGATTACAAGGTAATTTAAATATTCTTACAACATATACAATCCCACTTACACTTGAAAACGAAAAGTAACTCTCCCAAAATCATTGCAAACTTCGAGGTTACGTTTGATGCGATATATTATACCGGACAAGAATTAAAATATGTCTAATCATTATTGGGTGTTTTATTTTATTATTGTCCGAATTACATCACCCTCGGGGTGCTTATTCTCCTTTATTCAACTGTATAGATTTATAAAGGGGGTGTTTGTGATTGATTATCAAATTCTATAGTAAATTAATTCTCATTTTCAACCACACATTTTTCAATAAAATAATATTTTCCATCACATCAATAATTTTTTCTTTTTTTTCAACCACACATTTCCCATCATATCACTATTCAAAATCAATTCTTCCCC